TTTAATTTCAATTTCTAAATTTAAACTCTAAACTCCAATATGCAATACGATTAATATTCTCAATCATTTAAAATTTTATATTGTTAAAATTTGTGACTGGCTACCAACGTCTTTTAAGTGGACAATACAATTTTTGCAAATGTTTGTTCTTCGGTTGTTTCTAAGTTTGATGTCCTCTATTTGTTTGGTTTCGTGACTAAGTTGGAGTATTTTTTTATAACTAAGTTTGGGCTTTCGGATAACCATTTTTATAAATTGTAATGATAAGTTTGATGAAATGTTTAACATGCGCATAGTTCAACTAGTTAAAAATTTGGAGATTCGAATCGTCGCGCTAAACTAACGCTAATGAAATAGATAGTTTAGGTTAAAATTGACTCACCCATCAAAATTTAAGAATAAAAATTAAACATTTTTTTCAAAATAAAATATTATCTCATAAAATTAGTTGGAAAAATGGATAAAAGTGGGAGGCATAAGAGTAATTTTAAATATGGGGGAGTGGATGAGGAGATAAGGAGATTGGCGTAGCATAGGCGTCGGGGAGTCGGTGTCGCATTAGAGGGCCATGTGCATAATTGGCTTCCCTCTCTTTTTGCTTTTGGTTTCGCTTTTACCTTCTGTCTATTTCTCTTTGATGCTTATAATTGAAAATCAATTCAATTGGCTAAGATATCAGTAATTTTTTTTAATAAAGGGTAGGTTTAAATCTAAAAATAAAATTGCCAATTAAAAAATTGAAGCAATTTTGATGGTGATGGTTAAAAAACCTTTTGAATAGGTAATCTATATCTAAGAAAAATGACTACAAAAAGTTGTGCAATGTGTTGTCGAAGAAGGAAGGTGAGAGAAATAAAGAAGAGGACCATATGATTTATTGTTATTTTGTTTTCCAATTGAGCTCAGCTTGAATAGACTCGGGCGATGGTTTTAAAGTCATAAAATGAAGTATTTAAAATTTTCAATGATAAAAAATTAAAAGTTAAAAGTTGATTTTGTATTTAATTTTCTATTTTTAAAAAAATTACTTGTTTTTGTATAATCTTATTAGTAAATTTGTCACGAAATCATATTAAAATTTTTGGGCCAAATTTCAAAAACAAAAAACAATTTTTTTTTTGTCAAAATTTAGCCTGTATTTTGAAAATGCCATTAAAACTATATAGGTAAAATAATAATAAAAAAAAACTCTTTTTAAAACATAAAATTAAAAGTAAAATAATTATTAAACAAGGTTTAGAAAAATTTAGAAATAAAGTGGAGTTCATATAACAAAGGGCTAAATCAAGTAGATTTTATTAGTTCCTTCGAACCAAAAAAAAAAAAAAAAGTAAAATTTGTTAGTAAATAAATAAATAAAAGGGGGAATATTTTGAAAGGGTACGTGGTTGATTGAAGGGCCCCCTCAATAACATAAACATAACGAAAATAATAGCAATACCATTTTTATGGTGAATAAAGGTTTTTTTATTTTAATTATTCTTTTGGCGTTTAATTGAATGGAATTTCACTTACTGATATGGAAGATAGGCATATAATTTGGATCTTTCCCTTTGATTTTTTCTAACATTTTTTCTATTTATTATTTTCTATTTTTATTTGTAAATAACGCCTTGGCCAATGACGCCTTTGTTTTCAAAAAACAACGTATGGCAAAAGACGTGCTTGGGCGGTTCTATGTGCCCGGATCCACTGCTTCAAACCGACAGTCAAAAAGCCATTTTTTCTTATTTTTAATATACTTTTAGTTCCCAACTCCACCTCCTTAGTCCTTTCTAACCTTTTTTTCTCTGTTGATGCCGATTTTTGAGCGAGGTTCATGTAGGTATCATGTATGCCTTTATCTAAAAAAATATGGTGTTTGTATGCATATAAATCTTATATTGATGTAGGGCTGATCGGTTGAATGTATTCCTATGCTTAAGTTAGAATTCAAGTAAGAAACAAACGGGTATAAAACATAAAGAATAAGAGGTTAGTAATAATCTTACGAGTGAGAGTCTGCTTGGGAGTAGTGTGTCGAATCCTCACCAAGAGTTGTGTGGGGAAACACGACTTACCTTCATTAGGGTTCTTCTCTTTCTTATATATGGAGAGAGAGATCGATTCGAGAGGGAGGTTCCCCCTCATCTTAGACAAAGTAGGAAAGTGATATGTCGCTCCAGATATTAGACCTTATAGTTTGTTACATTTCATCTTCTATTTTGTAAGTGTAATATGTCTAAGTATATATTTACTCTCATGACTTAATACCAAGAATCCATGGAGACCACCAACATTTTATGCTTCTTGATGTATTGCAGACGATGGGTGCGACAACATCTTGAGTGGTCGCAAGGTGCCAGCACCCTGCCCACTTCCTGTGAATATAGGGGAACAAAATTCTCCTGTTATGAAAAAATTATTTGTCATTTCATTTACAAAATAAAATGAGACAGTGAAGGTAACAATAAACAATAAACAAGTTTAATATTAAAAAAAAACCATCATCGAACAAATAATTTCAAGTTACAATAAACAATAAATAAGAATTAATCATCAAAAGTTGATGAATTCGAATTTCCCGACTTAATTGTTGTATTAAAAGAAATTATTGGGTCAAAATAAAAATAAAAAAACACTACTTTCAAATAAAAAAATGACAAAACAATAGGCAAAAAAATAATAAAAATAATATCCTGATGGGCTGTTAAGGAGTATTAGTCAACGATTAAGTATATAATTATCCTGACGTGAAAAATAGGTTTTTGTGGATATAAAGTGAATTTATAGTCAATCGTGCTTATCCTCGACTTTGGCCGTACATGAATATGATGAGTTCATATATACGTGAGGCTGGCTTTTTATTTTTATTTATTATTATTTTTTTTAATCTTTTTTTCAAACATTTAATATAAGGAAATACACAAGAATTAATCCATAAGATTGGTTTCTTTCTAAACTCATTCCTTCTCCGTTTATTCTTTAAAATCAGTCTAATATTCATTTGCGAAAAATAAAAATAATCAGTCTAATATTTTAACTATTATAAATGTTTTAATTATTATTTACGTAGGGAATAAATCCTGTTTTTGTTTTTTCCGTTGTATTTAAAAGTATATATTTTGAGAGTAATACCAACATGTTGATAGGAGTGAAGCTACAAAGACTCTTTAACATGTTAACTTTTTTGTATATAATATATTTCAAATCTAATAATTTAGGAAATTGGTAAATTAAAATACAACTACAAAATCTTAAACATTTTATATAGACTTTTTGAATTACAATAAATTAATTTTCTGTGTGCTTATATTTCATACAAATAAGAGAGAATAGGGATTAAAAAAAAAAAAACTCTCAGTGATCAACACAAAATATATCTACAAAATTTCACTAAATTTGTATTGTTGTGTATTTATGTTTAAAAAAACTTACATTTTTTTATTCTCAAAATTTACCAGCTATGTATTTTAGTATATTGTATTTCAAATGTTTTGTTGCACTGAAGTAAACTCCTAACTTTGCATAAAACTTTAATTTAATTCTTCATTCAAATTTCAATTGCATTCAACATAAGTTTTACGTCATATTTATGTTCTAATAAACCCCATCAATTAAACCTGCTACTACATTTGAAAACAAAAGACATAAGATTTATGTCAAACATACTACGAAAATTAAGAAGAAAGTAAAAAATTTGTATGAAAATTTGAAAATCAAAACATAATATTTTAACTACGATTAAAAAAGAGAGAGAGTATAAATGATCATATATTCTACCAAGAAAAAAAAACAGGTTAGACTCAATCTCTAGTAATAAAACAATCAACACAAGTTTTCACATCAATTTAATTCATAAAAAAAAAAAAGCGACAGAATTTCAAAATAATTTAATAGATGGTATCCTAAGTTTTAAATTAACGATACTTAAACAAATGTTTTATATTCGATGTGACATAATTTATTTTCTAAAGTGCAGCTAGATAAAGAAAAAGGCATGATTTTTTTGGGTTACATATTTTCTAAAGTGATTATGGAAGCTTCTGAAAATTTTAATCTTAATTATTTAAACGAGAAAATGGACTTCCAACCGTAATCACAGAAAAGCCGTCGTTTTCTTTATCTTTATAATTTTTTTCTTCTTTTTTGGGCAAATACATTAGACAACCAATCGTGATTTGCTTACTTAATATTAACGAAATTAAATAAAAACAACATTTAAAACATCTGTTGGTTTCTTTGTTATTATAGCTTCCAATTCAAAGATATAATATTTATTTTAATACCAAACAATAGAGAATTTTTAATCTTTATACCTTCATTTTTTCCAAATTTAATTTTAATTTTGATCGGACAATAACATCATATACTTTTTAAATTAAATTAGAAATTTATTCACAAATCAGTTAAAACACTAAAAACTAAGTAAAAATATGCACCAAATCTAACTACAAAGACTGGACTGGTATATTTTTTAAAGGAAAAAAAAAACAAAAAAGAAAAACCAAAATGATTATGGTTTCCAAAACACCCAAAGGCCAAAGAGTAGGAGCGATTTTTATTTATTTGGTTCAGAAAAGAAAGATCCTAAAAGAAGGGGAGAAAACAACACTATTTGACCGACACGTGTAGGGAAAGCAAGCAAGAAAGTCGGTGGTGTCACGGTTTTACGAGCTGTAATATTAATGGAGGGAAACACGTGGCAGGTCCAGAGCGGCCACAACAGATCCAAATTACCCGTGAAGCAAGCCGCTTTGGGCTGACAAATAGCGATAAGGGAGTGGTTTCTCGGAACCCTTTCAAAGTAGCTACTGACCCGGCCCCACCATCCATTAGTGTTTCTTTCCAAAGAAACTGACCGGTTACCGATACTGCCCATTCCCCTTTCCCACTGTAAAAGTCCCGCGATTCACACCGCGTGATCTTGATGTTGTTGTTTACTCGGCTGCTAGCGGGAGATTTTTTTTTTCTCTCTTTTTAATTTTTAAAATTTATTTTCCCCTTTTTCCCAATTTAGAAGCGCCGAGGAGCTCCTTCGTGTTGTTTTCTGCGTGTGTATATAAAGATATATCTTCTTTATATCTCTCTGCGACGCCTCTTCGTAACTCATAAGGGCTGAAGCTACGGTCGTGCTTCGTTTCCAGATTATCCGCTGCAAATCTTTGCTGCCGTTCTGTTTTCGGTCTGTGAATTTCGCTTTTGTACGGTTTTCTGATAGTTCGTTGAGTAATTGATCCGTTTTTGGAGAGAAACAACGTGTGTTTGGATTTTCTTTGCGAGTAGAGAGTTTGAGAGGTAGTATGTTTATTGGTTGAATTTCTTTATTGATTCGTTTTGTTTTTCTTGTTCAGGTTCTTGGAAAGGCGAAGATTCTGCGGGTTCGATTGTATTTTAACCAAGTTTTCGCTTGTATTGAGAGATTTCAGTGAAGAATCGCTCTGTTTTGTTCATTTTCAGATGCAGATGATGATGATGATTTGATCTCGTCTACTTGTGTCAAATTTTTGCTGTTTTCTTTTTTCTTTCACTTGAGGAATTAAAATGGGAGTGAAGGTAGCTACGACGTGTTTACAATGGTCGCAGCCTATCGTTCATCATTCTTCTTGTTACTTGCAAACCCTAGCCTCCACAGTTTCATCTCCTTCATCGGCGCGGCGGAACCGTAGCGATGGAGGAGCTCTGACGAGCCGGTGCGTTCATACGCTTGGTCGACCAGGTCTGCTCGGAATCCCGCTCGCGAAGTTTCAACGGTCTCGCTCTTGCTGCGGTATTAAGCCAAGAATTCAGACGATCAGAAGAGCTTGTAGTGCCAATTTGGATGGTTTCTCAGACGAAGAATTCTCCAAACAGATTCAAGATTTGGCGCTTAGATTTCAAATCTCCGCTGAGAACAGTATCGATGCGAACGCCGAGGGTATGGAATCGGTTTCCGATTCCGGAGTTGGTGAATTCAATAGTGCCGACTGTTCAGTACAAAATCAGATGCAAATCACACCACCTCAACTGGCTTCATCAGAACTTCCATGGCCAGAAATTCACGGAGAACCTGAAATAATTGCAGACGATATTGAGCGGAAGGCGAACAGCGTTGACTTTCCCCTGTCTCTTCGAATCTTAAAGAGGAAAATGCAATGGCACGAAGGAATCAGAGAAGCAAGAGAGTCCGCTTATTGTTCGGTAAAGAAAGCATTCTCCTCCATGGTTTTCATGATCCGAGAGCTCCATTGCTATTCATTAAAATTGAGAGAGATCCTCTTTTATGAAGATTTACAAGGCATTCTGAACCGAGTTGAGAAAGAGATGCACGCTTCGTTTGTATGGTTATTTCAACAAGTTTTCTCGCACACTCCAACTCTAATGGTGTACGTGATGATTCTCTTAGCGAATTTCACAGTCTATTCAATGGGAAACAATTCCGCAATTGCGGCTTCCTCATCTCCCGGCCCTTCTCTAACGCAGACGGTTGAGGAGGTTGTTCAACTCGATAACCGAAAGCATCAGAAATTTGATTCCTCCACAATCAAGACGTTTTCAGCGTCTACCTTCAACGGAAAAACAACTTTCATCGGCGGCAATGGCGGCGGCGGCGGAAAGGTCCGACCGATTGCCACTGGCACAGACGGCGACGGATTCAATCGATCCATCAATTACTCTACCGTGATACCAGACGGTGCTTCCCAGTTGTCCTCAATTGGAACGTCAACAGAAGAAGAGTCCATTTCAGGGGAAACCATCAAAGAAGAAGAGCTGTCTCGATGGAAATCAATTCTCGAAGAAGCGTCACAGATGCAATCTGCAGTGAGAAACGAAGCCATAGATGAAGACGTGATGAGGAGATTCGTATCGCCGGTGACGGCGAAGATCGAAGCGGACGATTACCCAGAGTATTTCAGAACAGAGCTTCTGTACCAAACAGGACTATCCCAAGACCCCAATAATCCCCTCCTCCTCTCCAATTACGCTCAATTTCTCTACCTCGTTGCTCATGATTACGACAGGTGAAGCCTTAAATTCCTTTCTATCATCCCGATTCTTCTTATCTCCATATTATGGCCATACTTTCTTAATTTGTGTAAATCTACACAGAGCGGAGGATTACTTCAAGAGGGCAGTGGCAATAGAACCGCATGACGCAGAGGCGTACAACAAGTACGCGACATTCTTATGGAAGGTGAGAAAGAATTTGTGGGCGGCGGAGGAGTCATTCCTCGAGACCATTTCTGCGGATCCTGCCAGCCCATTTTACGCTGCAAATTATGCCAATTTTCTATGGAACAGTGGCGCTGAAGACACGTGCTTCCCCAACCCCACCTCTGGCGCTGCCGCTTCCAACTCCCCTGAAGACGCCTAATTGGGGAAATTTGTAAACCCCCAAAAAACAAAGGAAAAGAAAAATACAAATAAACGGAAGGATAATGAAATCGAAAAAAGGATTCAATGGTGCTGCAATGGTAGGCGTCATGGTTGATCAGAAACAGGATTTTGGCGGCTCTTGGAATGGAACTGTAAGTTTCCTCTTTCCTCTCCTCCTTTCTCTCTCTCGTGTAGATTTTTACCCTATGTGGGCGCCATTTTCAGATGGCCAAGTGTAATTATTCTTTCTTTCTTCCTTTTTCCCTCTTTGACAAAATATCAGTCTCTGAATAGAAAAAAAAAACGGTAATTAATGAGATATGAGAATATAAGTTTACATGGTCTTCTTTTCCAGTGTTTGACTGCGCTATCTTTCTTCAACGGTGATCTGAATGCCAATGATAAAAGCATTTGTTGTGTTTTAATGGAAAAACATGTTATATGAAATGCGGTTGATGTTGTGACACAATGGACTGGATAATGTTTTTTTTTTATAGCAATTTTTTTAAGTAGCTAAAAGATGAAATAGTTGATGATATATATATATAGGCAAATTTGCTCAATCATCTCTATGATATATTATCGTAAAGTTTTTGTTGTTTTTTTAGTACAAGTTTTTACAGAGCCGCCAAAATAAAGTTCCTTACGTTGAGTCCAGAACGACCATAATGTTGTTACCCATGGCCCAATGGTCTTTCAAAATAAACTTTGGGCCTGTACGGCCCGCATTGCCATCATATCTGGGCTTCCCTACTTCACTGGCCGAAAATTTGCCCCAAATTTGTAATATGGTTTCTCGAACAACACTTTACAAGATCAATCATTTAAATTCGATGGTTGATTTTCACCCATTAAATTACAATAAAGTTGTGTACTTTGGTAAGTAATAACTTCATAATTGAACCCACTTAAATGAATTTTCAATTCTTAGATTATATTTTAAATTTACAAGAGTACCATTAAATCACTATCACTAAATTAATGACAACATGACTTAAAAGAAAATGCCAAATTTTATTATGATGAGTGTTGTCTCAAGTACCATAATTTTACGGAACCAAATAATACAACGATAAAGGAGAGAAAATTTTGCTATTAAGATTAGAGAGTGTATCTCTAATACCATTTTTGTCTTGATATTATCTCAAGAACATACCAGGAGCTAAAATAAGTAGAGCATTCAATATTTATTTATTGCACTTGTAAATACTATATAGTCACTATTTCTCTTCTCACCTCGTTACCCTTTAATACACTAATGCTATGTGTTGGTGAAGGTTTGACTCACAGTCAAATGGTACGGAATTGGGCGAATAAACAATTTATAATTTACAGACGAGTTCATTGAAAAAAAAAAAGGCTAAAACACCACCATCCATCATCATTACCACACATCACATCACATCATATGTTACCATCAAACGACAGAAAAAAAATCGAATCAACCAATTAAACGGCAACCGCACGATCTCTCGAGTCCTCAGATTTGGTAGACG